AAAAAAAAAAAAAAAAAAAAAAAAAAATTGACACGCGTCAACTTTACAACGCGGTACAATAAAAAAAATGCAAAAATTAGAGTTGCATTAAATACTTTACCTTTTTATACAAGCTTTTTGCGAATGAACACAAACGATGAGGCTTGAGAGGCTTGACAGTTGAATCAACGCTTGTGGCAAATACGTCATGATTTTTGATAATGAGCCACGTGAAATTATATAACATGCTTGGATCGATTCATTAGAAAATAAAGAAACGACGAGAAATCTTATTATTATAAATCTTTAAAATTACTTAGAAATACAATATAATGTAATGAGTGCCATTCGAATTATTGTAATTAACTTTTTAAATAACCTCTGAAATTGGCCATTAATCACGTGATTTATAGATTTAGTTTTTTAACCTGATGCTGAATTGGGAACATCACATCCTAAAAAATAAATTCAGTTAAGAATATTAAATTCATTAAAGTCAGGGGAAAAAAGCAAGGTTTAGAAAATAAAGTTTTAGGAAAACTGAGCACAAAACTATTAATATTAATATTTTATAAAGTAAGAATGCTTGAAACATTATTTGTCCATGGTATCCGTATCGTATTCGCACTGCTTCATTTTTTTCTTATCATAAATAACATAGCCATAGTTTATTGATCCTCAGATGGCTAGAATATTGGGATCGACGCAGGGGTGGAATTTTTTTGAGTCGGTAATGTCGGTAATGAACAAGGGGATGATGTTGGAAACGCAAATATAATTCTTAACAATATACGTGATCACGTGAAGCAAATTGTTGGTGTTACGTGAAGTGGGATGATCTTACCACACCACCTCGCGTGTTACGAATATTAATAGTGTTGGTTACACTGCATAAAGGGCGTGACATTTTATGCAAGTGACAAATAGAGATCAGACCGCAAAAAAATTTCTAAGTCGCTGAGATAAATATAAACAACGAGGCCGCCGCCATCACGTGACCATGTGACAAAATCATCACCTGTACTACGCGAGGTGGTGTGGTAAGATTTACCCGTGAAGTGCGTGACAAATAGGGACTAACCGATACTAAAATTCTATTTTTAGAAGCGATGACTGATCACAATATACTATATTTAGCATGAAACGCGTTTTTTCGTTTTTACGTTTTTTAACAAAAATCACATGATGTGTACCGCGAATACATATTATAACGTTTATCTTGGGAAAAAAAAAAATTGATATTTTTCCTTTAATATATTAATCATTTTATTACTTTTATAATAAATACATTTTAAAATAATTCTTCTCACTTTATTTAATTTAATTTTAATAAACAAATAAATATTTATTGGTATTTGGAGTCAAGTACATTATTCCATAAATATTAAAGCTAATTTAATAAAAATCAATATCTAAGTAATCCTACACTTGCTAATAACTTTACTTAATCTCTAAAGGCTTGTTTCATATAACAAAAGCACCAAAATTACGCCGTAAAGTGAAAAAATCAGCCGCGTGCGGCACAGTAGTTTCCATACATATTGTTGCAAATATTATATTTGAGTGGTTCCATACCTGTTAAACAACTTAGTCTAAGCTACCTAAACCTATAACATTTAACTAAAGTCCTGAAATTACACTACAAAATAAAAAACAAATACAGCTCAGTAATTTCTTTTAAAAAACACCAATATTTGCACAAAAATAATATACATACTTGTTAAATAACTTTCTTCAAGCGCTAAAACCTTGTTTTATTTAGCTAAAATATTCACAAAATCTACAAAAAACGCGTCTATTGTAAATAAAAATTAACTATAGCTTTATAACAATATTCTACACTCTAGCTTTTCAAAAATATTTAAATTTTTTTTTGTTTAATGGATTTTTTAAAGAATATTTTAACGTGAAAAAAGTGGAGAGAAAAAAAGAAAACAGGGAGAGAGAAATAGTTTTGTTGTAACGAATAAACAATAAACAAATATAAACTGATTGTGCCACCGCGTCACACAAGTCACGTGGGGTGAAAAAATTTTGTGGCGATACCGCGAATAGTCTTATAATCACGTGATAAATCCAAAGTACACGCGCGTCACTTTGATTTAGATATTTCATAACTCACTTTACGATATTTTATCCAGCGATAAGGCCTTCTGTAAAGTCCACAGCGCATACCATGGTATTCAATTAGCTAAGTAAAAAAGAGTTCGTCTTCCTGCAAAGAAAAAAAAAACTTGATTTTACGCATCTACCATTGCTATTGGACCACATGCGACTGCCAACAGTTACAATAGTAGTAGGTATAAGAGACCGCCAACGGAGATTATAGTAAAGTAATTGGCAGAGAGAATAATAACGTGAAAACTCGGGATTCTTCACCCACCGGTGAAACAAGCCTTTTCCTTCGCCAATGATGAACAAGGGGCTATTGTTGAACCTTTCGTAAATTCTTGAAAAGACTTTCTATAAATTATTAAAGACTCTCTATAAATTATTTCCTATGGACAATGAGCACATAATCCAAAATCGTAGTCTTTTGTCGCAAAGCAACATCTTGACTTCGAAAATGCTGACGTTTTATGTATGATAAATTTCATAATTGAAAATATAGGTTTTTAATAGATCCTATTGAGCTACTAAGTAGCTTCAAAAAAAAGATGAGAAATAAAATGGCGCGTGGAACAGTGATAGATGAAAAGGGTAGATGGAGCGACCTTGCGCTAACACGAATTTGATCCCTTAAGAGAAAATTTAATGATAGTATCTCTTCGAAGTAGCAGAATTTGTTGCAGAAATTCTTGAAGATTTTGCGGAGGTGGATAAAGAAAGAAACGACAAATAATGAAGCTCGCATTGAAAAAAGATGAATACATAATGTACATCTGGAAAACTATCGAGAATCAAAACAAAAAGGAGAAAATTCTCAACTTTGTTCGATTTGTGAATTTGACATTTGATGTTGTAAGTATTGAATATTAATTGCATGATGAATTCATAGATACAACGGTTAGATCATGAGATTTGACATATTAATAGTAAATTGAGGTAACCGGTTCGGTTCTGGTAATCTAACTGGTCTTGTCTTCATAGAACTTAACAGTTAATAGTTTCCAAATAAATGAAAATTCTGAAAGGTATGTATGAGTGATGACTCTATGCGCATAGTCTCACCCAAGTCGGCGTGGGTGTATGTAACTTACTCTGAGCAAGGTTCTATGGGTAGGTTTAATCGGGACATGATTCCAAGCATCAAAAAACATTGTTTCTGTGGGCTATGTTTGATGAGCGAGGAAACAAGTCTCTTGGTCTCCGCTGGATTCGTTGGCTTAACGAAGGATAAACGAAGCTACTTATTTCGTGTATTGCCTATTGATTACTTGGTTTTTACTAGGTACCTACTTGTGGTTATAAAATAACTTTTTAATACCCATTTTTTTTCTAATCTTCACAGACCTTCAAGGAACTGATATGCGAAATTTCTTTTTGCTAATTTCGCTATGTGAATTTATACTCTGCGGTATAAATATGTGTGGTATTTGCATTGGTTTAGTAGTATCCGCTGTATTTATTTTTTGGGAACAAAGTAGTTAATATCCAGCGAATAAAAATCTTTTCGGCATCATCTATCTCAAATTAAACCGAGATCCCTATGCACAGTACCCCTGCAAAAACAACTCCACATAGTATATCCCCAGGAATAGTACCGGTTCCTCACACAGTACCCACGGGTACTATTCAATTTTAAAAATCAAGGTTCTTGAATAAGACCCGGGTACTGTATGCTTACGATACTTTGTCTCGTAATCTTATAGACGGTCTTGTAAAGGTCATGTATTCAGTAGAGGCTACGTAGATGGGTTTGTAGGCCGGCATGATCGATTTATAGTAAGTTGATGTACATTTATAATTATTTCATTTATGTTTATCTTCATGAGCTTCAGCTTCGTGAAAGGTACTAAAGTAGACAAGAATGTGATAAGTGATAATTAAAAGAAAACAAGTAATTTTGTTAAACATCATTTTTTTTTTATTTTACTTTATTTTCGTTTTCTCAGAAAAAAATAAAAGTAATATTACGATTTGTTTCTTTTCCGAAATTCTCATATAATTATGTCATTGTAATGTCTTAAAAAAAAATATTGTTCTTTCATTTATCTGGAAAGAATTATTATGATATCAAATTGATAAAAAGGAATTTTGTTTGCGAACAAGTACAAGATCAAAGATATTAAACACGTTTAGTATTAGTTCTATGAATTTGGCTTAACTGGCAATTTTAACGATTATATCATAAAAACGTAAATTTATGTTTTATTATGGGAACGACAATAACTATAGAGGGTAAAAAGTAATTTTTTTTCGATATAACAAAGTAATGTTATTAAGTACAAAATAAAAGTTTTATTTCCACGATTATTATAATTATTATGCTGTTTATGATGAAGTAAATTTTCTTAGTTTCATTCTATAATCAAATAGCAATTAAAAAAAATGAATAAAATCCATTTTAGTTATTTTTTGAAGGCAAAGTTCTGCGTGAATGATTGATCAGTTAAAAATATCAAACATTATCGTGCATTTTTTAATGCAAATGCAAATATCATGGGTAAATGACATACGATTGCATATTAAAAATTATTCGTTTTACTATGAAATATTTAAACAACGACACGAACTTTGGAATTTCTTCTTTTTCTTTTTCTTTTTTATCTTTATGGTAAACTCTAATCAGTCTATTGTAAAAATGGATCTTTATTCAAAAGAATGTACGTATAAAGCCGGAAATATTTTTAAGAAAAATATTATTTATTTATTAAAACGTGTATTAATAGTAAATATGCCAATCGAATATATCGAAATGAAAAATAAACTGAAAGAATATTTTGCCCAAGAAGCATCAAGAAGTTCACACAATTCTCATTATTCACATAGTTCAACCATAGAAATTCAGGATTCAACCGTTACGGTAAATTATATTATTGTTATAAGAATCTTTTTGATTAATAAGTAAATTTGAACTTTTAACATAAATTTATTAGGCACCTCTTATAACGACAAAATCTTTTGATACATTATTATTGTGTCTTGTGATTATAATCGGTTTTTTTATTTGGTATTTTTATTGCGATGTTTTATTTATAGTATATAGAATATATATAATTGGTGATATGAAATTAAAGATTAACTAACTTTGAAACTAGAATTTAGAAATTTCATTTTACCATTAATTAGTTATTTATGAATTTCGCTAATCCAATTTTTAATGTAAAGTGATTATACGAAACAACAACACGTGCCAAAATGGTGCTAATCCTGTGGCGAATAATTTAAACATCACTGTAATCGCCAGTGATTTGGAGTTTTTTTTCGCGGATCAAAAGAAAATTATCTGATTAGCAAGGCTTTAGAGGCTTTAGAATTATTAAATTGTAAAAATATAATTCGTGCATACATATTTGGGATTAATTTTACATTCCTCTGGTGAATTTCACCGGAACATGATTTATATGCATAAATTTAATAAATTTTATGGTGAAATTCACCTGCTAATAAATATTCTTTAGTAAGAGAAAAAAATTCTACATATTTTTATTCATTTATATTATATTTATATTATATTTTGATTATATAATGCTATATTAAAAATTGTAATTTTTTATTTTTTTTTCAAAATGAAAAGGTTTAAATTTTAATATAATAACTATAAATCACGTAATATGGTGGAAATCACCCCTAGTGAATTTCACCTGCAAAAAATCTGGCAATTGTAATAAAGTATATATCAAATTACTCTCCAGTTTTACAATATTTAGACATAATTGAATTAGATGATTGTAGTGTAGAATCAATATTAATGGTTTATATTAACAAAAATATTAATATAAATGATTTTTAAAAATCATTTTGGGAATAATGAAGCAAATATAATATTAGACTATTAAAATAGAGTTGCTATAAGATTAAAAAAATTTAAATTCATTTAATTCATTTATAACAGAAAACTATTGTATTACATCTTGCTAGTAAAGATACTGCAAAAAAGTTCTATATTTTAAAAAATAAAATAAAATATTAAGAGATATTTAATTATTAGTCATTTATATAAATAATTAATCTCATATTAATTCAAAATATATTAAAAGAATCAGAAAATTATTAAAACTATACATGCTGCCCAAATTATTTTGGGATGTCATAATTATAATTTAGGATGCCATAATTCATTCAGTTTATATATAATTTACTATGTAAAGTGCCAAAATAATTTGGGATGTCATAATTGAATTTGGGATTTTACTTATAATTAGGCTGCTCCAATTTAATAGTTTGTTTAACGTCCTAACTTTATATAAAAATTGAGGGGGGGGAGGGGATCAAATTAAGTAAACATTTAAAAATAAACATAGTTTTTTCTTTATCACTCAATGCATTTTTACTAAAAATACATCTTGGTTTATTACAGATAATGCAATTAATAAGTTTACGTATATTACTTTTATTAATTATACTACTAGGAATATTTTCTTTGGTAGATTCAAATGCACTGGAAAGAAATTCTTTTAAATATTATACAGATCGGTGATGTTAGTATTATAAGTCACGTGATATAACATATGTTTGTTTATTTTTAAAAATTTTTCAAAAATGAGGGGGGTGGGGTACGTTAAACAAACTATTAAATTGGAGTGGCCTTATGGCAGTCCAAAATAATTTGGGTGGCATGTATAATTAAAACTAAATAGCTTTTTTTATCAAATTCTTGAATTAGTAAAAAAAGCATTTTAATAATATAACATAAAATACTATACTAATACTTGAACTATTATCTGCTATTGATGAAGAATTTGAAATTGTTACAATATTTTTGGCTAATTTTTTCTTTATTTTATTGCTATTTTCAGAAATATTAACAATCTGAAATTTTGACTATTTTATACCAAATACATTAAATACATTATGAATATATACAAAAATTATGCAAACTTGAAGTATTTATATATAACTTTATATAAAAATTATTTTTGTCATTTTTTGAATATAAATAAAATTGAAAATATAAAAATTTGTACTGAACATACACTAAATATAAACAAACATACTGAACACACTGAACATTAGTAAATACAGTCAACTCCCTTTATAATCATTCTCATTATAGTCACATTCTACTATATAGTCACACCAGTTGGATGTTCAAAATATTTTATTATTAAAATCTATTCTATATAGTCACAATTTATCTATAGTCACTATAATACCTATTTTTGAAAATCTCATATTAAAAAGTACTGTTTATAGTCACAGTTATGTAAAGAATACAGTCAACTCCCTCTATAGTCACTCCCGTTATAGTCACATTCTACTATATAGTCACACCAGTTGAATGTTCAAAACACCTTATTATTAAAATCTATCCTATATAGTCACAATCTATCTATAGTC